CCAGCACTCCCTGCAGGCCAGTCCTAGCAGAAAGGGTTTCCCCCTGGCCAGGGAACAAATGTATAAGAACAGGAGTGTTTCTTCAGTTTGTTTGATGTGTGAGATGGGGCTTGGCTAGCTCCATCAGCTCAGAGCTGGTGACTCTGAGCTCACCTTACCTGCTTGTATATAATATAGTAGCAAAATGCAGTAAAGTTTTCTCAAATCATACCAGATTAGTTTGAAATGTAGACTCTGCCTCCTATTTTTAACCTTCCTAAACCCCTGTCAAATGTGAATGAATTGTCTAGCACAAGGTTAGAATAGAGTGAGCAAACATACATATTTTCTAGAGTCAATCACAAATCGTATATGGTATTTGTGTTTCATAGGAAAGCTCTGCTATAGGGGGCCATTTCTGACCTTTACAAAAACAAACAAAAAACCCTAAGCAGAGTGCATGGAGGCTTTACACCTGTAATCCTAGCTACTGGGAGCCGGGGGACTGCAGTTCGAAGCCAGCCTAGGCAGGAAAGTCTGTAAGACCCTTCTCTCCAGTTAACCACCAAAAATCCAGAAGTGAGGTGAATCTTTGGCTCAAGGAGTAGAGCACTAGCCTTGATCATAAAAGCTCAGGTATAGCACAGGCCCTGAATTCAAGCCCAAGGACCAACACAAAAAACAAAAACAAAACAACAACAATAACAAAACAAACCCCACACAACCCAAACACTTACATGCGCTGCCTCTTGAAGCTGTTCCTCTTCTTGAATTATCTTTGTTCTGGTAAGCCAGAATCTGCTTCTCTTCTCTGTAATCTTCAACCACTAGATTCAGATGCTGGCCATAGGAACCCCATACATCTATTTTTGCCAACTGGAATAGCTCAAAAAGAACCAACTCAGTACAGCCAAATTCCCCAGTGAAGGCTGTTGTCAGGCCTGGGAAACTGGGCAGAACCCACTCTGCCAGATATGCCCATGATTAAGTCCTGGTTGGCTTGCTCTCCTAGCCTGACAGTCCACCCTCCTTCCCCGGCCCCCATACACACTTCTTCTTGTCCATCTCACTTGTGGTCACTAGGGGGCGACAGAGGACACTCCAAGGCTGGGAGACAAAGGAAGAGAAGTCATTTCCTGTCTGTTTCCCCTCAGCTTCCTCTTTCTGCTTGCTTTCTACCACTGAGCTCTAGAGCTGGCCTACCTCACCCTACCTGACCCAGGTGTGCTGGCCAGATGCCAGGCATAAAGTCCCCAGAGGTCTGCCCGCCCCCTTATTTGTTAACTATCTGCTATATGTACCATACTGTGTAAGGTCCAGTGTGGTTTATATTATTTTATGAAATTCTGTCCAACCCTATGTCATCAGCATTGTGTTCACTGGCAGCTGAAAGAATGGGCTGTTGGTGGCATGGCCCCTGCTCACGAGGCCCATTGTGTGAGAGCTAACAGGTAAACCTTAGGGGAGCCAGTGGCAGCACACGGTTTGTCTGCCCAGTAGTGGCCTCGGGGGTTTTCCCCATGCTTCCTCTCTCCTCATGTGGCTGATTTGGCCATCTAATTGTGTGTTTCTTCACTACGCTGGGCAGCCCATGCCAGAAGGACTTCTTTCATGTTTCTGTTCAAGTCGCTATGTGCCAGCCATCCCCAGCCAGAAGCTTTGCCCCAGCTCCTTGAATTTCTCTTTGTTTTGCTTGCAGTGCACACAAGGTCTGGCCTTATTAATCATGCCACAGGCCAGGTTACACAGCCCGTTTGGGATAGTGAATTAGCCAGCTGTAGCCCAGGTGAGTCCTATTATGTCCATGAAGAAACTCACCTCTCCCTGGTATGCTCCTGTCATAATCCTTTGCCTCCCTTTCTCCACTCCTGTGATCAGAGGCATTTTCCTGCCTAATGAAGTTCTGATCCATCTTCAGGCCTCACGAATGTATCCAAAGGCTGAAATAAGCTCATCAAGGCCGTTCCTAGGTGTCCTGCATGCCCAGCCTACACACAGTTTTGGATGTACGTGGGCACATGTGTGTACCCGTGTGCATGTATATGTTGCTGTATACAGATGAGAATATGGGCATGTCTCCATGTGTGTTGGAGGCACAGGATACAAGAGACACAAGGCATAATGAATTAGTGATGAGTAAAATACAGCATGGCAGACATAGATCAGTTGTGAGAGGACCTGGTGTGGCATAGGAGTTGGGGGGGGGGCACTGGCAGGGCTGGGGGGAAGCTGTTGTGACCCTGAGAACTCAGGATTGGAGCACTGTAGCCCGGATGTCAGCCTGCAAACCCCTGGGGCAGAGCTGCAGGCGGAGGGAAAACCTGCACAAAGAGCATGTGCCAGGCTCTTCCCCACATTTTCTTCACGGCCCAGCCTGGAGTCCTTCTCATCCCACGGCCAACATTTCCTTTCAAGTAGGCAGACTGTGGAGCCAGCTTAAAGCTTCCAGAGCCTTTAAAGGCTATTTCAATTTGCCTCTGCTGTGACAGTCAGAAGCACAGCGCTGGCTTGTGGCACCTGCATGCTTCTACTTCTTTCTCTACTACCAAGAAACTCCATTAACAGGGACGCTGGGGGAAAGGCTGGCAGAGCCACAGGGCCTGGTGGTCTTGGGGTGTTGTCATCATTGCAGCCCGTTTCCACAGCTTCCAGCCTAGCGCCACCCACAGCCACTAGAACTGAGCAACTGTAGGTAAACCCCAGGCACCAGGCTCCTCTTTGCTCCTAAGCCAACCTGTGACAGATGGGCAGAGCTGTCCCTGCTCCAGAGCCAACCAGCGACAAGAGGGCGGGGCTGATCATTCTCCTGAGCCAATCTATGGTGGGTGGGCGGGACCTCCCTGCTAGCTCTCCCTCACCCCCGTGCCAGGCTTAACTGCATACCGGGCCACCTACTCCGAAGTAGAATGCACTTAAACAAGAGGCCAGACATCCTAGGTAGCGTGTTCCACAGATCCATCCTTTGCTTAACTTCACAGGCCTGGGCACACCTCCCAGGAGACTTCTAGAAAGGGGCTGAGCTCAGCAGGAATTCCATAGTTTTCTTCCAATTTGTTTGTTTGTTTTACTTGTCGTGGCATTTATTTGCTGGGAATTGTAAGAACCTTAAGTTTAGTCTTTCTAATTGGAGTGAGACTGGAAGTGAGGATTTTGAATAAGGTATAAAATGCATGGGGTATTTCGGATCCATGGCATTTGATATTAGAATGCAGGCCACAGAACCTCATTTCATATTAGGGTTTTTTTGTTATTTGTTTGCTTTTTACCCATCTCATCTTTTGGAGGTTTAATAACCTGGATTTCCTCACCTTTTGAGTTGACCCCTCTCGTGCAAACCAGAGAAGGGGAAGTAGTGGCATGGAAAATTTGATCAGAGTGCAAAAGTCAGTGTGAATATACAAAGGAATAAAGACCTCTGGTTTTTGTAAAAAATGAACTTGCATTATAGAGAAGACTTCTCGTCTGTTCAGAACTACCTTGCTCCCCTATGGGTGTTCCCAGCTTTGTTCCAAGCACTGGAGCCACACTAACCACCATCTCCCGGTCCCTATCCTATTAGCTCAACCATATGAGGTTGATGGTTTTATAACTTAAAACAAGTGCCTATAAGGTCCAGCTGTTCTACTCCTAGGTATTTATTCAAAAGAAATACAAGCATGCACCCAAAGGCTTACACACCAGTGTTCACATCTGCTTTATGTGTAAGTGTCCAAACTGGAGATCATCCAACTGGCTATAAACGAATGCCCAGTCCAACTATGTGGTATGTCCATGCAGTGAAATACTACTAAGCAATTAAAAAGGAGTGAAGTATGATCCAGGCTACAACTAGGAGGAGCCTGGGAAACATTAAATGAAACAAACTGCATATAGAAGGCCTTATATTGTATGATTCCTTTCATGTAAAGTTTTGGAAGGTGCGGACTAGTCCATAGTGACAGATAGTAAACCAGTGGTTGCCTAAGGGACAGGAGAGTGGGGCTGGAGACTGGAAGGCAAGGAGAGTCTGCAAGAAAACAAGAGGGTGTTCTGGGGGTGATAGGCATGTTTACCATCGACTGTGGTGATAGATTTGTGGGTGTATACATGGGTCCTATCTTACCAAATGGTACACTTGACAGACCTGGTGTATAACATTGCTTTTTTTTGGGACGGGGGGGGGGGGGTGTCCGGTCATGGGGCCTGAACACTGGGCCTGGGCACTGTCCCTCAGCTATTCAGCTCAAGGCTAGTGCTCTACCACTTGAGCCACAGCGCCACTTCGGCTTTTTTCTTTTTGCTTATGTGGTGCTGAGGAATCGAACCCAGGGCCTCAGGCATGCAAGGCAAGCGCTCTACCACTGGGCCCCCTTCCCAGCCCCTAACATTGCATTTTTATAATATGTAGTGTGTGTCATATTCAGATTATTATTACAGCTTAATACAAGTGTTAAGCTTGTAGCTCACGCCTATAATCCTCGCTACTTAGGAGGCTGAGATCTGAAGATCACGATTCAAAGCCAGCCTGAGCAGAAAAGTCTGTGAGACTCCCATCTCTAATTAACCACCAAGAAACCAGAAGCGGTGCTGTGGCTCAAGTGGTGGAGCACTTACCTTGAGCTGAAGAGCTAAGAAACAGCGCCCAGGCCCAGAATTCAAGCTCCATGACCGACCAAAAAAAAAAAAAAAAAAGAAAGAAAAAAATAATGAAATACAAGTGTTAAAACCATCAAATAGCAATAATGCCATATGGGTTAAGGAATGGATAAATTTCAGGGGCCAATTAATGTGTTTACCTTTGTTTCTATTTTTCATACATTCTTGAAAAACCTCCCTTGTCTGTCAGGCGGGAGGAAGGTATCTATCTCATCAATGAAAAGTGAACATGCTCCTGCTCTTTTGAGCTTGGTGGGAGCAGAGGTGTGTCTGCAGACCACGGGAGGATTTTCCCACCAGCTCTTCTTAGGCAGCTGCCAGGTGCAACCAAGTTGTTTGTTCTCTGACTGACACTGGGTGTGTATCTGTGCCTTGTTGTTTTGCAGAGTGACTTGTGGTCGCTGGGGATCACGGCCATCGAGATGGCAGAGGGCGCCCCCCGTAAGTACCTCCCTCCCCTCGGGTGTGCTCTGTGGCCCATCCAGTCGTGCAGGCTTCTGGACAGAAGGTGCAGTTGCTTTACTTCTGCTCCACGGAGCCTGGTAGGGGTCCGAGCTGACAGATTGAGGAAGCAACCAGGAATCCATTCATCTCAAAAGCGTTTGAGAATCTTTTTTTTTTTTTTTTAAGGCAAACCAGAGAATCTTGTTTGTGTTACAAATGTAATGTATAGAGTTCTTGAATGACCCTTTGCCTAAGCAACCCTCAAAGACTGTCAACTCCACTGCACAAAACTTCAAAGCCGATTTGCAGTAAACGAGTTAGGCAAACACTTCTACTCAGGGTTATTCCTTTCCATAAAATACTGAGGTTTAGAATGTTAGATTGCCCTGCTTCTGTCCAAAGCAGAGCGGCCATGACTCCAATGATCTTAAAGAACTTCAGGGTCTGTGTGCCAGTGGCGCTCACCGATGAGCCCAGATACTCAGGAGGCTGAGATCTGAGGATAGTGGTTCTAAGTCAGCCCTAGCAACAAGTCCATGAGGCTTATCTCTAATTAAACAGCAAAAGGTCAAAATGGGAGCTGTGGCTCAAGTGGTAGAGCGCTAGCTAGCCTCTGGCGAAAATAGCTCAAGGACAGTGCCCAGCTTCTGAGCTCAAGCCCCAGGACTGGCACAAAAAGAATGTCTAGAAGCACTGCAGAGTGTCCGTGTTACTGTGTGGTGGCCCGAAGAAAGGCCTTCCAGCCTTCCACGCACAAAGTCTAAGTGACTGGAAGCCCCAGGTTGCTAGGAGCAAGCACAATAATGACACCATCTTGTTTCCGGGAAAAGACAAGATTTTGCAAACCACCCTCTGGACTAGTTGGGGGCATCTCCACCTACCTTGTCTCCTCCCTACTGCAGTTCCTGCTCAGATTTGCAGAGCCACCTGATGATTCTCACCAGCCTGTCTGGCTCCCTCCCTCTTTCCCTTCAGACAGGAGGTTTTCCCAGTGATGGCTTGTGTGTTTAATTCCATCTTGTTGCCTAAAACGACCAAGTGGGCCCTTCTGGTACTTGACAGGTTTTTATACTTCTGGCTTCTTACCTTCAGGTTATCATGGTCCATTTTATTTCTCCATTTAGAGTTGGTTATGTGTGTCATGATTGATTTCAAGTGTTTCTTGGCAACATTTCCCTCATTTGCAATGGTAATAGATGTTTGTGAATCAGGAAAGTAACTTACCTGAAACTATACTATCATTTTGATTTGTAGTTGACAGGACTAAAAATAATCTACCCACAGACCTATTAGAGAACAGATATTCTCAATCTAGATACAAAGAGAAAATACTTCCAGCTGTTTGAAATGTAAACTAATAACTATCTCAATTTTAAAAATAAGAATGACTGGCAGTTCACACCTGTTACCCTTGCTACCCAGAAGGCTGAGATCCGAGGATCACAGTTCAAAGCCGGCCCGAGCAACAGAGTCCATGAGACACTTTATCTCCAGTTAACCAACAAAAAAGCCAGGAGAGCTGTGGCTCAAGTGGTAGAGTGCCAGCCTTGAGTGGAAAAGCTGAGTGTGAGGTTCTGAGTTCAAGTCCCATTAGGAGATACCTTTCATTTTAAGTCTTAGGGTTTTTGATAACTAAAAATAACATCACCATGTCTCTTGGGATTATTTGAATGACCGATGATTTCTTCGAATGACATAATTATTTGCAACCAAGAAGCCAGGCTGTTGGACCTTTCACTTATTCTGTTCAAACAGGAAGTGAGAATATATTGCTTAGAAATATTAATATCTGTTTGAAAGGTATGTATGGTGTTTCATGAGATATCAGATGGAAGCTTCTAGATCTTCTGACCCCGGGAGTCAGTAGGCGGGAGTGGTCTGCACAGCCAGGATGGACCTGGCGTGGCCTGGCCCCCTGGCTGAGCTGGCCTTGTGTTGGTGTCTTGCAGCCCTGTGCGACATGCACCCCATGCGTGCCCTCTTCCTCATCCCCCGCAATCCAGCGCCCCGGCTGAAGTCCAAGAAGTGGTGAGTTGGGTCTCGTGTTCTGCAGATCTAACACTGACTTCTCTGATCCTCTTTCCAATGAGCTCAGCTCCCTCCACTTTGATGATATAATATAGAATGTTCTAGAAACTATGACCTGGTAGTTAGCCCCACCCCTACAAGGTAAGGAACTGTTAGCCAAACTGCGGCCCAGGATATGGCAGGAAAGCTCTTCACGGCTCCACGTGCCTCTGTCCAGACAGGGTGATGGTATACACCATCTACCAGCTCAGAACAGTCACTGTGACTTGTCAGGCACAAGCATGCACATCTGCAGGCTATTGTTTCTCTCCCTCTCTCTCTTACTCTCACCCTTCCCTCCTCACTCCCCCACTCTACTTTCTCCTTCTCTCCTTCCCTCTCCTTCTCCCTCTCTTTCCCTCCCCTCTGCTCCCCTCTCTTTTCTATTTCTCTTTGTGAATGGTGAAACTAGATTCGTATTTAGGACAGCCATATATCTTTGGTTCTTAATGAGCTAATTCGTGCGTGTGTTGGGGGGGGGGGGGGGGGGGGCGTGCGCGTGCGCGCATGCCAGGCCTAGAGCTTGAACTCAGGGCAAAGCTACTGTCCCTGAGTGTTTATACTCAAGGCTAGAATTCTACCACTTGAGCCACAGCGCTACCTGAGACTTTTTGGTGGTTAACTGGAGATCAGAGTCTCACAGACTTTCCTGCCTGGGCTGGCTTTGAACCAAATCCTCCAATCTCAGCCTAGGATTACAGGTGTGAGCCAGTGGTGCCTAGCCTAATAAGCTCATTCTTGTCATAAGGTTATATGGAAAATAAAAATCAACTCTATGCAGCGTATCTCCAGCTCTGTGGGTGTGGCAGGAGTTGCGTGGATGGCATGGGATTGGCTGAAGCTTGGGAAATGAATTCTACAGGTTCCGCTGGATAGCTACCTCTTGGTTTTCTCGGGTTCTTACGTTGGGATCATTGTAGCTTGCCATTCTACGACACAGATGCATGGCTTTCTTATGCTTCCCTCCAGATAAGCTCTTGTATCTGTGCCCCTTTCCACACTGGAGGCTGATTGCTGCTTATTTCTCATCTCCTTCCTTTTTCTAGACCCAGTCCTGGGCGCCTAGGCCAGGAAGGGACAGGCCTTCCATCCTTTTTTCTGCCACTTCATGATCAGGCCCCTGATTGGGGGCAGGGCCTCAGTTTCCCACCCACAGGATCCTCCCCACCACTCAGAGAGAAGCTTTAATTAATACCAGTCAGCTAGTAATGACATAGCAGCACCGGGGAGCAGGGAGGAGGTGACTGCTAGGAAAGCAAGGACAGCTCCGAGTTGCCAGGCCTGGGGGGGGGGGGGTGAAGGGGGGAGGGTGAAGGGGGGGTTGCTATGGGAAACCCAGAGGCTGAGTTGCTTTCCTCTCAGAGGGTCACTGTGGTGGAAGTCACCATTCTCTCCCCAGCAACAGCCTCCCATTGGGCTCCACACCCCATGTGATCTCAGAGCACCCTGAGGTCCCCCCACCCCGTTCCTGTCTACTAAGATTCTTCCCTCATGCTCTGCATCAGCGTGTGCCCCCCTCCCACGCCCCAAACCCCAGAAGACATGGCAAAGCTCCCTGTCTGCTAGGATCCTGCATGTCCTCAGTCCCACCTCCCAGGGGAGCCTGCTTTGTAAGGTGGGCTTGACTTCCTGTCCCCCATCCCCCCCCTCCTCTTCCTCCTCCTCCTTCCCCACTCCAGAGTGGATAGATGGAGCCTGTCCACAGAGCAGGACAAGGCAGACAGCCACAGAGGCACCTGATTCCCGCACACATTCCTACTTCCTTCATTCATGGGTGCCCTGAGGACTATCTTTGGATCTCTGGTCTTCTCTGCAAGGGTCCACAATGGTGCTCCCCTGGGATTGATTTTGGCACTGCACCCCTCCCCCCAACTCCATGCTGTGGGTGCCCCTCAGAGCAACCCAGAGCGGCCAGACAGCCCTGCAGCACTGCTGGCTTTCTAAACAGCCCAGCACTGCCCAGCCCTTGTTTGAGTCACACAAAGTGTTGGGGAAATAGAGGCTGACCTTCCTGCATTGAACCTGGCCAGCGAGGAGTAATAGGATATATTTTAGAGAGAGAGAGAGGGGTCCCAGTCCTGGGGCTTGAACTTAGGACCTTGCCCTCTGCCTTATTATTTTTTCTCAAGGCTGGTGCCCTACCACTTGAGTCACAGTTCCACCTGATTTTTTTGGCTGGCTAATTGGAGATAAGAGTCTCACACACTTTGCATGACTGGTGATCCCCGAACTATGGACCTCAGATCTGAGCCTCCCTGAGGAGCTGGGATTATAGGTGTGAGCCACCAGCGCCCAGTTTGAGAATTGGTTTTGATGCTGCTGGAAGAAACTAGAGATGTCCAGAAATGGGGACCAGGCCAGTCTTCTCTCATGTCACTGATTGAACCCCTTTCCTCACCAAGTCCCACAGTGCCCCACAGAGCAAGGTGGCAGTTTGACAGTGAGCAGGGACCAAAGCCATCATCATGTGCTACTGCTTCGTTAGATGAAAGGCTGTGATGGCGGCTGGTACTCGACGGGACTCGGTGGCTCCAACTCTGACAGCGAATCTCCATCTTTAGGGGAAAATATCCAAATACTTTTATCTTAAAATATCAGGTCCATAGTGATCTGAAATAGGCTAGGGTTTGCTTTCATGGGCTCTACTGGGAGGAAATAGTTTATTTTTCTTTCATGATTCTAAAGAAGAAGGACAATCCCCCTCCCCCCCCCCCAATACACACACACACACCCAGCATACACACATCCACAACAAACAATGTTCTTTTTATTCCTCATGGCCAGGTGAAGTGTACTCTTGCCAAGGTTTAGATGAACACGTGGAGCAGCGACCCAGAACTCTTGCTAACCATTAGCACTGGCACCACTGCGGGCTGCCCACAGGGGGGCCTGAACCAACAGTTGCTTCTCTGTGCCTTGAAGTTTCAGGAAGGAAAGGCAAAGCCATCAGTAGCCATGGGAGTCACAAGTTGAGGTGTCACCGAAAGCTTAGGCAGCTCAGCCTTGTGAAGATGGGGGTCTCTGGGAGCGTGGCAGCAGTCTTCAAAGAGGAGACCAAAGATGAGATTTCCCCCGTCTCCTTGGCAACACAGCCAGCCAACAGCAAAGCAAATGCTGAACGTGCCAGTCCTGGTTTCAACCAGAAAGATTCCTGTGTAGTCACTGGCCACACACACGTAGGACAGTGGTCCTGTCAGACTGAGTTCCTAGGGACGTCCCAGCCATCTTGGCATGTGCGGACTTGCACTGCAACGGTCGCATAATGATGAGATCGTTTCTCAAGACGCATCGGTGCCACCAAGCAACCCATGATCAACACAAGCAGAGGAATGGAGAATACCACATATCCAGGCTATTGGTCCTAAAGACAGATGTTCTGTGATGATAGGAGGGTAAGAACAATAATCTCAGGCCAGCAGGCCCTCCCTGCCTAAGTATTTGTTTTTACGTCAATTAACTCCCTTTAATCATCACACCAGGCTTTTGAGACAAGTACTGATAATGTCCCCAATTGCAGTCAAAAAAGCAGGCACAGAGGAGTTAAGTGATTTGCCTACGGCCACACAGTAAGTAATGGAGCCCAAAGTAGAAAGAAGGTGGTGGGGGGAGCAATTTTAAGAAACAGGGCAGGGCCACTGCATATTTCATGTTAGACTGCCGTTGGGAAATGTGAAGATCATCAGCTCATTTAGCCTGTTTCCTGCAGTTCGAATTCTCATCATATAATTGAATGTGCACACAGGATAGCCTTGGGAAGGTCGGGTGCTTCGCATCAGTGGAATGCACGCCTTGGACTGTGTAAACAGCCGTCATCCACATTTACCCCTCCATCCCAACCCTTGGGATATTGGTATGACTAACTTAGGTTTTGGTTTTGTAAGAAAAGAACCAAGTTACCAGGCGCGGAGATTGAAACAATGAAGTTATCTAAATGTACCTTAAACCCATTGGAACACTCAGCCAACAGGAAATACCCAACCTAGGGAAGCTATTTTCACTTACAATTAAATGTGCAATTAAGCATATTGATTCTTTGCTCACACTAGAATAAGAGACAATGAATCCTTCTCTTTTTTTTTTTTTTGAGGACGAGTTTTAAGAAAGCATTAGTTTGTCTTCAAACAATGTCCTATGAGTTAGACCTGCAGCACAACTCTAGCCCTGACATGTACTTACACATCTGGCCCACACTTCAGGCCCAATGGATGCTCTTCAATCTCCCTCTCTAACCCCACCACTCTCTGTCTCTGTCTCCCACCCTCTCTCCTCCCTCCTGATTCCCTTCCTTCATGAAAGCTCTGGAAAAAGGGATTCTCACAGTTGCTTTCATAAAAATCCGTGGGCACTGTTTGGTCCTGTAGGTCTAGATATTTCTCTGGCTTTAATTTTTTTTTTCATGTGAATGTTAGGGAATAGAATCTAGCAGCTATTAAGCCTGGATGCCATTCTTTTAGATTGGATGTGAGTTCTTTTATTTATCACAGTCTAATTAATTAATAGAGGAGCAATTCGTGCTCAGCCAGCACTTGCAGTTGCCAGCAAGACAACTGCCACTTGCATTCTTTGTGGATATACTTAATAGCTTTCAGTCTTAATTTACTTGTTTCCATCTTTATTTTTTAATACTGTTTTATTTTTTTCTATTATGGATTCAGCTTCCTTCTTTCCAGTTTATTTCTTAGGAGAGTCCATTATGCTTTGCTTTGCTAGGTCTCTCCTTAGAGGATAATTATGTTTACACCCACACGGATTTATTTGATCTGAAAATATAAATGATATTGCCCCCCTGGGCTTTACTCCCTGTCCATCATAAGCAGATACAGAGGTGACCATCTCACACCCTTACCTGCTGCTTCTGTCCATGTGTCTGTCCATTTAAGTATCTGCCACACAGGTGTTTGCACAAGATACGAAGGTGGCGTGGGCTCTGTGCAAGATACGGAGATGACGTGGGCTCTGCTGAGAGATTGTAAAGTAGAAGCAGCAGAATCAGGGGCCAAGGGACTGAGTAGGCAGGTATATGGTGCCCAACCCACTGTCCCTGTATCTGGTCCATAGAGTGGCCAGTCTTTATTCATCCTGGGATAACTCTGAGCACAAAATACTCCTCATATTTCTATTCCAAACAGTCTTAAGACATTGATAATGTATCATGCTCGTAAGTGGACATGTTGAATTGCAACATGTCACTTGTATAATTGCTTAAAGATAATAAAATAAGTATAATTTAAAATCTTTATAAGTTTAAACATAGCTTAGAAATTTAGGGAGAAACAAGTTGCCACAGGAAAGTTCTTGAAAAACATGGAGTAAAGTGAGAAACTCCTTTGATCTAGGCAGAAATAGGAAATGAGACATATGTGTAGCCTGTCACATTTGAATGTTGAAAACCATGGTCCAAAATATGTTTTAGGTGATGAAAACACTTCTCAGGCCAGAGAGTGAAAGGGGGGGGGGGCTGGGGAGGGGTGGAGGGAGGGAGGGAGGGAGGGAGGGAGGGAGGGAGGGAGGGAGGGAGGAGGGTGTAAAGCTTTGTATGTGGAATCCATAGTGCCACAGGAGGGCGACAGAGAGCCAGGACTGATGCGGCCTGAGGTCTGGGGAGGCGGTGCTGAGCTGTCAGGGGGTGCCCGGCATGCTGCAGAGTCCTGGCCTTGATTGTTAATGACTCTTGAGTAATTCCCTAGAACTTCCAGCAAGAACATGCGTGCTTAACTCGTGAATCATGGACAAAGTCCATCATAATTTCTACCCCACTTTGGCCGGGCACTTTTCCAGGGCTCCCCTGCCCCATGCCTCTCCCGTCTAAGGCTGGTTCTTCTTCTCAGTCAGGCAGTGGCTCACCTCTATGGCCCCCAGCCCTGAGTCTCCTCCTAACTTTCAGGGTTTTCACTGATGTCTACCTTCCTCAAGCGTCCTTTCTCTTGGAGGGATTTTCTTCCAGTTCTTTAAGACCCAGCCCTCGTTTTCTCATTCTCACAAACCAGAGGCGTTTCCCAAGAGGCCTTTTTCTTCTCTGACACCTTTTGCTCTTCTGTGAAAAGTGTGTATGCACTGAGGGAAAATGTTCCCCTGTGCTGGGTACTGGTGGCTCATGCCTGTAATCCTGCCTACTCGGGAGGCTGAGAGCTTAAAATCATGGTTCTAAGCCAGCTCAGGCAGGAAAGTCGGTGAGACTCTTATTGCCAAGTAACCAGCAAAAGCCAGAAGTAGAGCTATGGCTCAAGTGGTAGAGTACTAGCTAGGTCAAAAAACTCAAGGAGGGGTGGGAATGTGGCTTAGTGGTACAGTGCTTGCCTAGCATGCATGAAGCCCTGGGTTCGATTCCTTAGTACCACATACACAGAGTTGGCACTGTGGCTCAAGTGGTCAAATGCTAGCCTTGAGCAAAAGCAGCTCTGGGACAGTGCCCAGGCCCTGGGTTCAAGCCCCAGAACTGGCCAAAAAACCTTCACAAAACTCACGGATATCACCTAGGCTCCGAGTTCAAGCCCTAGTCCCAGCACACACAAAAACCACCACCTAACTTCCATGTGTCTACTGTACCACACAATACCTGGATGGTGCCACTGCACCTCTTTAATGATTGGCTGATTCCTAGGCAGACAGATGTGATGACACTTTTAAAAAATTTTTTAATTCCAAAAACGTCTTTGCTTTTCTTTCGATTGTTATGTTATCTGTGGACTCATCGCTCCTGTTCGGCAGGTCTAAGAAATTCCAGTCATTTATCGAGAGCTGCCTGGTAAAGAATCACAGCCAGCGACCAGCAACTGAACAGTTGATGAAACATCCGTTTATCCGTGACCAACCTAACGAGAGACAGGTCCGCATTCAACTCAAGGACCACATCGACAGAACAAAGAAGAAGCGAGGAGAAAAAGGTCAGTTGCACACTTGGGTTTCAGCCAAGAGACCTCCAGAGTGGCCTGAGCCATAGCCTGGGCTTGCTGAGCTGGGGGGGTGGGGAGGGGACAGGTCCTGTGGTGGGTGGGACTTCCTGCCAGACCAGAGCCTTGGGCATCAATGGAGAGAACCTCACTGCTAATGTGCTATCTTGCATGAAAGAAAAAAGCCAACCACCAAAAACAAAAATCCGGATCTGCAAGGGGTATTACCTCTTCCAGACACCGAACAGTGTCATAGGGCATGACACTTGCAAAGAACTTTTCAAAAAGTGATTTTCTTAATTCAGATGAGTATTCTTGTCCGTAAGACAACCTTAAAAAAAAAGGCATCTGGTTGATGTTTATCTGTATGGATAGGTTTCAGCGTTTAAGTGTTTGTGCAGGGGCTCAGTCCTGATTCAATTGGTGAAAAGTCCAACTGCATTTTCTTTCAGTTGCAGAGATATAAACCATCAGTAGGGCTGGGCATGGATGGCACATACCTGTAATCCTAGCTGCTCAGGAGGCTGAGACCTGAGGATCACGGTGTGAAGTCAGTTTGGGAAGGAGAGTCTGTGTGACTCTTATGTCCAATTAACCAGCGAAAGGCCAAAAGTGGAGGTGTGTCTCAAGTGGTAGAGCACCTGCCTTGAGAGAAAAAGCCAAGAAAGAGCATGAAGCTCTGATTTCCAGCCCCAGTAATAACACAGGCATGTGTGCACGCACATGCGCGGGTGCCCCCCCAACACACACACACCCACTGTACATCAGATTTTATTTCATACCTGCAAAACTTTTCCTTTGGAAAAGGAAAATCATTGGAAAGGATCTGAGTTGAGACTCAGGGCTCTGGGACTGTGCCCTACTTTATTTCAACACTTGTACCCCTGCACCCCAGGATCTAGGCTTTATGACTGACTGAGCAGCAAGCCAGGAGGTAGGAGAGAGGGTGAGGACTAACTGGTGGGAAACAGAGAGAGCAGCTGGTGCAGAGACACAGGGAGAGGCAGCTGGGGGCAGGAAGGTGGCACAGAGGGTAGGGGTGGGGAGCGGCAGGACCACAGGCTGAGGCTGGGGAGGTGCGTGCCCATGTGCTTTTCCTCACATCCCTCTTCACCCCCCTTTTCCCTCCACGTGACAGACAGTGCAGGAGGTAAATTGCTCTCTCGACATTTACATTTTCCTTCTTTTTTGTGTGTGCCAGTCTTGGGACTTGAACTCAGGGCCTGAGCACTGTCCCTGAGCATTTTTCTTCAAGGCTAGCACTCTACCATTGGAGCCACAGCTTCACTTTTGGCTGTTTTGGTGCCTAATTAAGAGTAAGAGTCTCACAGACTTTCCTGCCTGGACTGGCTGGGAATAGAGCTCTTCAGAGCTCCGCCTCCTGGGTAGCTAGGATTGCAGATGTGTGCCACTGGTACCCAACTCACCACTCTATGTAGGCAATTCTTCATTGCTTTAAGTTTTTGATGCTATTCAGAAATAGCTTCTGAGCACGCATGGTCCATGAATAGAATGGAAAATGTTGTGTCTTATTCTCCTATTTGGGGGACACAGATCCTTGGCTGTAACTGAGAACTCACTGTGTCATAAAGATTGGACTATTTTTGAGCTGTTCATTCTTTGTAGAGTGGAAGAGTAAGATCCCTGCAAGTATGTCTACTCACATGTGTGGGAGGGAACCTAACCCTGCTTAAGTGTTAGGTCCACTGAAAGCTCAGTTTTGCCTGCCATCCCAGGAAGGGTCAAATGAGATCTCATTGCATTTATTCTCTTGATCACACGATTTACTTTGCTTCCTCACTTTTTCCCTCTCTTACGAGCTTTCCCTATGATCAGCTTTTGGTAGATCCAAGAATTTTACTTTACATTACTTCATGCTTATTTTTTTCCCAACCTGAGATTTTTCTTTAAGATATGTTGACATGTTCTAATTTAAACCAGTCATATAAAAGCAATCACACCAAATTCTGGTGATGTATTAAAACTGAGAAGTTTGACAAATGAAGGTTTTACCTTAGAGAGTAGAAGTAATTGGAATAATTATGTGCTTCTTTCCTTTGCTATAATTTCCTTTATTAGATAAAATTGCTTCATCTTACTTTGAACTCTATCCATTTCAGGGAAGTTTGGAATATTAAACTTCCAGTATAGAATAGGAAGACACTTTATTCAGGTTCTGTAAATTTTGTTTAAATCATACTTTAAAAAATAAGTAGCCTATGGAAGTTGTGTTGTGGCACAAGTGATAGACCACTAGTCTTGAGCAAAAAAGTTCAAGGACAGTGCCCAAGACTTGAGTTCAAGCCCCTGATTGACACCAAAAAAAAAAAAAAAGTAGTTTGGCCAGGCATGGTGACACATGCCTATAATCCCAGCTACATGGACAACAGAAATGGGCATATCATGGTCCTATGTCAGCCCTGTGAAAAAGCATGAGACCTTACCTGAAAAACAGCTAAGGCAAAAAGGGCTGGGTATGGCTTAAATGATAGAGCTCTTGTACAAAATCCTGAAGTCAAACCACTAAAGAAACTAGAAGCCTGGAAAGTTCACATTTATCTACAGATAGGAAGATAACCTTTCATTTTTTTTTTGCCAGTCCTGAGGCTTGAACTCAGGGCCTGGGCACTTTCCCTGAGCTGCTTTTGCTCAAGGCTAGCACTCTACCACTTGAGCCACACCACATCCAGCTTTTTCCCTTTATGAGGTAATGAGGAATTGAACCCAGGGCTTCATGCATGGTAGGCAAGCACTCTACCACTAAGCCACATACCTAGCTTATGATTTTCTTTTAAAAGTACACTTGAGCTCATCACACTTTGGATTCATTCCTTCATTATCTCTTTAATGTTTAAAACAGTATAAACAAGCCTTTCAGCCAGTGTGAGATTTCCCCATGGGCATACTGCCTCCTGGTGGTGACATAACCAAATTGCAGTTTCAACTCCTTTTGAGGAATTTGTCAAAGTTATCATTACTAACCGAGAGTCATGAACAGGTTAACAGTCAGGTCACATCTGCCTTTACTACAAGGCTCCTCACTACCCACAGACAGGCCTCCTCTGTCATGACCCCATTACTCACTTGGGCATGTTGCCTGCAGTGCCCTTTGCCAGCTACTCTCTATACTGCCGTCTCCCTACCTGAGAGCCCAGCCCTTTAATACTCAGTACTTCTGCCCCTTCCTCCATTCTAAGCAGTGGAAACAGCTGTGTTTTCCTCATTTCTCATCACTCTTTTCATGGGCTTAGTGTAGGCCTTTGGTTTAAATGGGTGGGAAGGAAGCCTGGTTTTCAGGCTGGAAAAGTTCTCCATTGAATCCTTAACCCAGAGCCCAGACTGACTATTAATGTGATGGCATTGGCCATAGCATGACCTTCTTGTCAGCTGAATATCTTCATTTCCATTAGAGGATTATGGGAGGTCAATGAGAGAACATGGGGTTTCCATATATAAAGTATATTACAAAAGAATGAATAACAGTCTAGTCTAGTAAATAGGCAAACCAGTAGCAGTCATTTTACAATTGAGTATTATGAACTGTGCACCATTGTGCAGGCTGTACTTTTTCTATGGCTGGTAGCATAGGAGCTTGGCGCTGGCTTCACCACAAACGGGAAGTCAGAGCAGCTGTCATATCCCAGGGCTGCGATTTTTCAGCTCCGTGTAATTTCACAGGACTACTGCCACTGGCCATGGTGTTCTGAGCAGCCTAAGGCTGTGCAGGAAGGGGGAATGGTTCCCTGGTCAGTTGCCCATCCCATGCACTAATGTCCTGTGCATCTCCCTGCAGATGAGACGGAGTACGAGTACAGCGGAAGTGAGGAGGAAGAGGAGGAGAACGACTCAGGAGAGCCCAGGTATGGCCTGGAAAGCCAGGCCTCATCCACCTACCTTTGCAATTGTGCTTGGGTGAAAGTCACTTTCCTTTTGATTTATACATTCATCTTTAAGCAGCCACTCATGGTGATCTTACTTAATTTACTGCCCACACATATGTTCATTAAGTTGGGAGTTTCCCTGGGCAGACTCTCAGGGAAACGGGGAAATGGGCATATTCTTTATTTTGTCCCCAAGATTTATGGTCTCCATTCAAATCCTGGCTTCTCACAGCTGTAACATGTACGGTGGAGAAGACCCAAGTATCTGGGTCATCTGGGACTAAAAGTTCTCAAAACTGCAACTTGCCAGAGACTTAAGATATTTCAGACTTGAAGTGCTTGCTCCTTACTTTATCCTTCTGAGAAACCCTTCCACGTGGTCGCCACCTTTGTGGCGATTTCATGATTTCATGAACAGGCCAATCCAGGGGGAAATAATTTCCAAGAAATCAAATTGTACTCTAGAGGTGAACCCAAAGAGAAACTTAAATGCCACTCCTGTTGTCACATGTTGGACCCCAGAGTCAAGGGTTTGCTTGACTTTGATTCCAACTTTCCTCCCATCCCAATTAAGGCTCACAGTGGCAGGCTTTCTTCCATATATACCACGGGCTGCGCGTTGTAAAGGTGCAGCCAGTTTTAGGAGAACGCAGACAAGCCCATGCCTCCCTGGACTCCATAGATCTCCATTCTCTAGTCATCCAAGGAGTGAACACAAATGCCACAGAAGGACACCAGTCCCCCTATTGCTAGCGGCTCCCTGGCTAGGGACCACCAATCCCATGCATGGTTAGAATGAAACAGTGCCCACATGGTCTCTTTTCAGCCACCTAGGCCCAACAAGCTGGATTCAGACGAGGGTGAGACTGGGCTTAGGAGGCCATTGGTTCTAGTCTCTTCACCTGCCTTTTGATTTCCCAAGGTCCAAGACTCAAGGAGGATCCTTTCCTTCTGATACATACCACATCAGCCACCCCCACTGTAACTATAGGAGAGACATTTGGGGCCCCGCCGCTGGCTTCCCCAGAAGTCCTGTGCTGTTTCTTGATCACTTCCCCAGATGGGGAAGTCAGCCCTCTGATCATTCCCTAGAGATTCTAGGGCCTCTGTCTTTCCAACAGTTGCTAATCTGCATGGCAGAGGTCAATGAGTGAGTGGGCCAGCTGTAATTACAGCTTGTCACTATACAGCGACCATAATGGGCCATCTTGTTTTTATGGACACGCTTAATTAATCCTCGTGAACTTCTACAATGTGGAAAAGGACAAGGATGATTTCATTTTAGAAACAAGGTGACGGCTCAAGGGTGGTAACCGGGTCACTCACATACAGACTGAGCAATAGAGAGGGAGAGACAGAATTAAAGAGAAACTGAGTCAGGAATACAGCTTAGGTCTCCTGGCTCTGATTCAATACCCATTAACATTGAAGAGGCATCCTTGTGTGTACGTGAGGGAAACTTTGCCTGACAAGCTACCACCTTTGCCCAGAGTCAGTAGGCATAAGACTCATCATTTGGGAGTTGTTCTGGAGCCTTTCACTAAGGCAGGAAGTTTTGGAAGCTGCTTGTTGAGTTCTTCAAGATCACCTAGGGAAGGCCTTGAGCAAAGCCTTTGACATCATATATGGTAGGATCTCACACAAATGCCAACTCTGATCTTCTGGTCTGCTGTCCCCAAGAACTTTTTCCGTCTCCACTGTCCCTGTCCTGGGTAAAGCTTCTGCCCAGAGCCAGTGCTGCAGGACCCCAGCTGTTAGTCCTGTTTAGGATTTGTCTGTGTGGTGCCTGTGCTGACAGCTTTCCACTCTGAAAGCCCCCAGCCCTGCTCCACCCTCTTCTCTGACATCTGGTACCAGGTTTTCTCTCCCTCCACCCTGCAAGGCCTGGCAGAGGACCAGTCCCTGGGAAAAGGCCATACCTGTTCCCACCATGAGCTCAACATTGCTTTTCCCTCTGTCTGGAACATTCTTCCTGCCCAGCCCATTTAGAAAGGACCCTTAATCTTGGACACACACCCTATGCTTGTTGCTCTTTTTTTCTGTGTGTGTGAGGGGCTCCTGGGGCTTGGACTCAGGGCCTGAGCACTATCTCTGAGCTTTTTTGCTCAAGGCTAGCACTCAATCACTTTGAACCACAGCTCCATTTCTGGTTTTCTGGCGGTTCATTGGAGGCACGAGTCTCACATGTTCCTGTCCAGGCTGGCTTTGAACCTCAGTCCTCAGATCTCAGCCTCCTAATTAGCTAGGATTACAGGCGTGCACCACTGGCATCCAGCCTTACTGCTGCTTTTAAGTTGTGTGACACACGTTGTCTTTTGTAGAGCATACTAATACTTGACATTTTATTTCATTATTTTTAATTATGTCTTTGGTCTGCCTCTCCACAAGAAAATTATTTGGAAATAGCAGTTTATCTGGCAGCTGCTGTTTTCTAGAACTCATCCTATCATGGCACCTGTCACATAGCAGATGTTGGTAAATTTGGGCTTAGCAGATTTGTTTCAGATAGAAGCTTCTAGAAGAAGCCAGTCCCCATCTCTCTGGTAGGTGGCTACATGGAACCAAAAAGCCTATAGCGTTATAGGTTTCTATCTGCAGTTAGATTGGACTGAGGCAGCCCTACTAGTGAAGCAGATGAAATTTGTTCCGATTCCCTCTCCCTCCTTCCATCCCTCCTTTTACTGAGAGAGGGAGGGAGGGAGGGAGAGCGAGCCTAGGGATCCCTGGCTGTGGTCCCACTGAAGCAGCCCTGAATTCCTTAGCAAACTTGGGTTCTAGACCTTAGCTCTCTGGTTGCCTCCGCTGGAGCACTGGCCTCCGCTTGGGCTGGCTTTGGAACCTGGGTCCTCAGATCTCAGCCTCCTGGGTGACTAGGACTGTGGGCGTGCGCCGGGCTAACGTCTTGGTGTCCTGCCCGCAGCTCCATCCTGAACCTGCCAGGAGAGTCCACCCTGCGGCGGGACTTCCTGAGGCTGCAGCTGGCCAACAAGGAGCGCTCCGAGGCGCTGCGGCGCCAGCAGCTGGAGCAGCAGCAGCGGGAGAACGAGGAGCACAAGCGGCAGCTGCTGGCTGAGCGCCAGAAGCGCATCGAGGAGCAGAAGGAGCAGCGTCGGAGGCTGGAGGAGGTGAGGATGCGCGCGGGGGAGGCCCCACACCCGACACCCCACACCCGGAGGCCCACTGGGGCACCGATCGCAACGTCCAGGCTCCGGGGCCTGCAAAGGAGACGACACCCTGTTACAGATAGCCCGCCAGGAGGGGGTGTCACCCAGGAATGAGGAGGCAACCTTCTGCAGAAGGATGCCCTGCCAGCCACAACTCCAGCCTGGCAGGGAGCACTCAGAGCAGGCAGGCTGCTCCCTTTTAATCCCCTACCCCAGCAGGCCCCGCCCCTCTGCTCCCATTGGCCGAGCGCGGGTTCACAATCTGCCATGGGGTGTGGCTTAATTCCAGGAGCTTCTAACTGGATGTCTTCAAAGTGCTCTGGAAACGGATGCAGGTAACTACAATGTCATTAACGATAGCCACCTGGCCAAAGCAGGAGCCCTTCAGGAAAACCATTCTAGAAAGAGTCACAGAAAGGAAGCAAGCTGCCTGGACAGCAAAGAGCCTGGGATGGGCACGGGGCCCTATGTGGAATGTAGAGGAGGGGTCTGTACCCCTCCTGGTCTCCCATCATGTATTACCTTCTGTGGGAGGCCTCACCTATGATCGCAGCCCTCCCTTCCCTCCAGTGTTCTATTGCCTTCCCCTACTTTGTTACCGGGACCTGGGTCTGACCACCAGGAAACACACACTGTATATGTTCCTATCTCCCCACCCACTGGAGTGGAAGCCCCCAGAAAACATGTCTTCTCACTTCTGTTCCGCAGTGTTTCTAGTGTTCACACCAGTGTCTTGCACATGTAAGTGCCTTAGAAGTATTGGCAGAGTGGGTGAGTTTATGAATGAAGGATTCAAAAGTGGAGAGAGGCACTGCAAGTGTTTTCTAGACTATCATGGAAAGGCAAGCAGAAGATGGAAAAAGCAGGGCCTGACTAATTCTCTCCTGAACACTGAGAACAGAACTTCAGAGGCCTTTCCCTCACTCGCTTTGTGCCCAGGGTTTGTCCTCCAGCCAGCAGGCAAGACCAGTGGTGTGCACAGCCCTGCTGACCTGTGTGTGTGCATATCAGGACATGCCCTTGTGGTCTTAAAGACCTGGGTTTGAGCTCCTGTCCAGGACTTTAGCACATCTCCCAGGCCTCCTTCCTCTGCCTGGTGAAGCACAGGCTTCCTTGAGCGGCAGAAGGGAGATAAAAGTACTGTCCAGTGTAAGATTAAGTAATGCATTTCTTTTTCTGAAATGATAATATAATTAAAGAATAAATGTAGGCATCTCCATTAGCTCTGGCTCTTAGGATAAAATTCCATAGATTGAGTGGCTTGAAAAACAGAGTAAGTTATTTCTTACAGTGATGGAAGCTAAGAAGTCCAAGGTCAGGATGTTAACAGATTCACTTCTTGGAGACCATATTCTTCGTGACTTGTAATATTCATCATCTGATTATGTGCTAACATGACTTCTTTGTGATCTTTTTTCCCCCCAGTTAACAAAGCAGTTTATGAACACAGTATATCTTGATCATTGTCACTGCTTTCAACATTCTCGCCCATCCCTCCCCTTAATTTTGTAGGATATATATGGGACTCTTGACTGTATTCTCCCTCTTCTCTTTATCCCTTCTCCTTGATGCCACCCCACCCCTTCCAAGTACCAGGTTTCTTGGTGTATTTTGCTTTGGTGTATTTGACTTTGCCTTTCAAGGAATTACATTACTTGAGATGGAATCTACCATATTTCAGTTAATACATTTGTATATGCTTGCATACCACCCAACGTGTTTACTTAGAAGTGTGACTGTTGCCAGTGTGGAGCGTGGGCCTTGAGTGGGAAGTCAGCAGCCCTCCTGTGCTGGCCGGTCCACTGACATTCACCAGGTGGTAGGAGAGGCCTGGGTGGAGGGTAGAAACCTTCCAGAAGGCCCTGGCCGGGTGCAGTGAGGAGGTGGGGACATGTTGGAAGTCGTGATCCACAAGGTATAGCAGTGCGCAGCATCTGCATGGCCTGCGCTCACCTCTGAGGCCCAGAGGAGATTCTCGGGCACCTGCAGCTGTCTCCTGGTGCCACCTCCTACTACCCACACAGGCTACTAGAAACCTCCCGTGCTGGCCCCACGTTTTTGTTTTTGTTTTTGTTTTTTGGCCAGTATCAGGATTTGAACTCAGGGCCTTACTAAATTCTGGTTAGCTTTTTCACTCAAGGCTGGCACTCTTCCACTTAAGTTATACCTCCACTTCCAGCTTTTCAGTAGTGATCTGGAGAAGAAAGTCACTTGAATGTATCAGCCTGGGCTGGCTTTGAACTGTGATCTTCAAATCTCAGCATCCTGAGAGTAACTAGGATTACAGGAAGATCTCAAATAGTGTAACAGTATAATTTCTTAGAAAGTCAAAGTTCAGGCATTAGCCAATGCCCAGCATACCTGAGCTTTGTACCTTTACTACACTAGTAATTTCCCAGGTACTCTGTGCAGCCTGTCAGCTGAAGTGTCTGATTTAATGCTTGCAATAACAACTTGTGCTCTAAAGATAAGGCAGCTGTATCAGGGAGATTTCAGTGCCTGTCTAAAGGTCCCACAGCTCGAGAATCAAGCAGGGTCCAGGTCCAGGGACCCAGCTGCAGAGCTCTATCTCCAAGGCGTGGTCTCGGCATGCTTTTCAGTATTGCTTACCTGGCCTGAACTCCTGCACTCTACCTAAAGGTTCCTGAGCAGCCGAGTGCTGGATGCTCACACATACACCTGCAGAGCACCCAGGTCCGGGCTGGCATGGAAGGGGTCTGCCTATCTTCTTCTGGGGGTGACAATGTAGGGAGACACAGCTTTGCAGTGTGGATCCAGACACCAGTTTGTTGTACAGCTTTGGCTCCTTTTCCCTGCCCTAGAGCTCTGTAAAGAAAAGGATAGTAAATACTTAACAGGTATAAATTCACAGCCTCTAATAATGACAGTCCTTGCCTCTAGAGATTCCTGCATCCTGCCCCTGCTGCCTCTCCAGCCCTGTCTGCTCCCCTTGGCCTGTGTTTCAAGGTACTTGACTGTGTGACAACTAAATTTGGCATCCTTTCGGGCCTGTTTGCTGCGGGCGTCTGTCTCTGGTGATCTCACATCATCTCCCACCATTCTGAGGAGGTCTGTGCAGCCTTTGCTATTTGTGGGGAGCCACGTGGGTTTGCCTAAGTTCTAATCAGTGTCTGTATTCTTAAATGTCTGTGGCTTGTGTCCAACCAAGTGGTGGAGAGCAGATTCAGGTTTTGGCCAGTAATAAGGTACAATTTATAACTAAGTTCCGGGACCTTGATTAAAGTCAGTTAAGGTGAGTCAGTCCAATGCTGGGGAAAGTTCACGAGGCCCTCTTCTATGCTATTCAGTGCTGTAAGCATTCCTATTTCTTATTCTCAGTGTTACAGTGTGATGGGGAAAGTATGAGACCCTGGAGGTGGTAGGAGTCATGGCGATGTTTGATTCTGCCTAAGAATTTATATGTGTGTGTATTTGTGTTGAGCTTTTGGCCTTCAGTTTGCTCTATCACTTGAGCCATACCCCCAACTGCCTTTTTGCTTTAGTTATTTCTCAGATAAGCCTTTGCTATTTTGCCTTGGAACAGCCTTATATGATGGCCCATCTGCCTGTGCCTGCAGTGGGCTCCCAGGTGCATGCCAGCTTCTTATTGGTTGAGATGGGGTCACTAATAACTTTCTCCCAAATGACCTTGAACTATGCTCTTCCTAATCTCTACTTCTGGGTAGCTGACATTGCAGTAATCACATCAGGGCTGATGGTGCAATGATATCAGTGGCTTGTACATTTATTTCAACTTGCTGTTAGCATTCTATGTCTTTAACTTCTGAAAGATCTTTACATCAGAAGAATGGATCCAATTGACCCCAGAGGTAGCAATCTCCTGAGAGTAAATTTTGCTTTTTAGAGAATTGGATAAAAACATTCAAGACACCCCACTTTTATTTAGTGCCCTTCAAGACCATAATAACCTTGTCAGTAACAAGCCTGACACTAGTGGCTCATGCCTTAATCCTAGCTCTAGGAAGCTGACATCCACAGAATTTGAGATCTGATTTTGTTTGTTATTTGGGAGATAGAGTCTCATATGAGGCATAATGAGATGGAGACATGGCTCAAGAGGTAGAGCACCAGCTGAGTAAGCATGAGGCCCTAGGTTCAAATTCCTGTACCAGCAAAACAAAAACTAACCCAGTAACAATAATAAAAACAGACTCCGGCTAAAATATATTAGGTTGGTTCTATCCTCTACCATCTATGTTTTGACTGAGAATCTCACCTATGACTCATGGAACACGATGTACAAAATAGAGCCTAGCAATTTAAAATGTGAATTTTCTATGAGCTTCTATCTGCTGTAACTGGGAATTAGAAGGACATTGGGATCATTGGTTTTGTGGAACGGTAAAGTACAATTGAGACCTTTTTTTCCTGCTTGCTGTCCTGTGTTAAGGCTTAGGAAGGACAAGTGTGAGCAAGAAGACGAGCTCAGAGAACAAACAGCTGCTAGCTGAGCACTGGTGGCTCACACATGTAATCCTAGCTACTCAGGAGGCTGAGATCCTGAGGACTGGGGGTCAAGGCCATCCAAAGCAGGAAAGTCCATGAGACTCTTATCTCTAATTAACCACCAGAAAACTGGAAGTGATACTGTGGCTCAAAGTGTTAAGAGTGCTAGCTTTGATCAAAAGGAGCTCAGGGACAGCACCCAGACCTGAAGTTCAAGCCCCACAACAGACAAAAACAAAAACAGATAACTAGCTCATCCTGGAGCTTGAACTCAGGGCCTAAGCACTGTCCCTGAGCTTTTTTGCTCAAGACTAATGCCCTACCACTTGAGTCACAGTTCCCCTTCCAGCTTTTTTTTGGCACTTAACTGAAGAGTCTCATTGACTTTCCTGCCCAAGCTAGCTTTGAACCACAATCCTCAGATTTTAGCCTGCTGAGAAGCTAGGATTACAGATCCCACCAGCACCTGGCTTATTTTAATGATTTATCTTAAT